GAGAAAGCCACTTATTTTCTTGAAGAATCGGAGAAGCTCATATTAGAGTTCCTTATGTAATTTTTTTTATTGGGTATAATATATGGATTGTCTAAATTTTTTTAAAAAATTTGTTAATAATAATATATATAAAAAAGAATAATGTGACATTGCATCCTAGTAGGAAAGAGTTAATGTACTTATTGTGTCAAGTATATTTCGAGGAAAATAGGTAAAGTTGGGTGATATTGTAGTCCTAAAACAAGCATAAATGATATTCCTAGGTAATTTCCCAAACATGGGTGACTATCTAGGAAAATTACTCCTGACTCTTAGTTTCAATGACTTTAAATACATGATCATGTGACTGGCACACATGAATCTCTAAAATTAGCTCGTGATAATGAATCATGTGGATCTTAGTTCGGAGGAAAGATAAGCCAGTATGTCGAATTAAAAAAAATCAAACCTAACACACCGGTTAGAGCAAAGTTCAAAACGATTAACCAATTTATTTTAGGGAAAATTGTATATAATAGCAAACTATTAATTCTAATTAAATGCTATAATCATAGTTTGATTTAATTGTACCTCATAGCAAACTGTTGTTATTTCGCCTCTCTCCTGGTGAATCTCGCTCACCACTCTCGTTCTCGCTAGGCAGTCTCCCTCGCTTCTCTCGCTTTTATACAAACACAAATGTATAAAATGCGTTTGTGTTTGTATAAAGCGAGAGAATATATATATACATATATTTTCGTTTCCCTCTCCCAGATCTCGCTCGCCACTCTCACTCGTCTCTCTCACTTTATACAAACACAAATGTATACATTGCGTTTGTGTTTGTATAAAGCGAGAGAAAATTATATATACAAATACAAATGCATATATTTTCGTCCTATACACTTATGATTATACAAATACGATTTTTCCCTGCCCAGTTTTCTTTTGTCTTTCTCTCTTTCTCGCTTTATACAAACACATATTATACAATTGATCTTTTGTATATGTATACCGAAACAAATTATACAATTGCTTTATTTTGTATATGTGTAGCGAAATATACATCTTTATGTTTGCTATGGAGCGCAATTATATAAACTATAGTTATAACATACAAATATGATTTTTATGTTTGTTATATGTAAAAGTTGCTCTTTATTTTATCTCTTCAAAATGATGAATATTACACCACATAATGAATCTAGGAAATAATTATTAATATGGGAAGAGAATATAAATATGTCATATTTTAGGTCATATAGGAAAATATTTGACTTTTTAGCATAGGTTAACATATACAATATAAAATATGAATTCAAAGAACTAGGTATAAAACATGCTCTCTTTTCTAATTTCTAATAAATTCGAATCTTAGAATCCTTTTATAATATATATTTTAATTGAAAAAAAAACTAATATTTGCTTCCACCACTTCAATGCAATTGTTATCCACGTCTACACTGAAATTGTTTATATAAGGAATAAGGTTTAATATATAATTAATCCTTCAATTTGCATTTAAATTCCTTAATCTCACATTTTTTATCCTAATCAAATCATTAATTTAAATATATAATTGTACCATTTATACAAAGTCACTTTATAGTTGAGTGGTATCAAATGACTTAGCCATTGGCCTAATTAAGTTATATGTACCCCACTTCTTTAAATTATTAAATATGTAAAAAAAAAAAAAAGTAAGCTAAATGATTTTCTCTCCCACAATATAATTAAAATTCATATATATTGTGGCCACTAACATCTCATAAAACCACTATTACCCTTTTCCTACTTTTATTTTATCCATTTTCCATCTCATTTAATTTGTTTACTATATTAAAAGAAATAGCGACGGATAACTTTTAATTTTGTTGTTGAACAAAAAGAATTTACCGTTTATTCTATTCAACGACAGATTAGCAATTACCTATCAAAAATCATGTTAACTATGGGTTATATATTTATATAAGTGATAGATTAGAGATGAAATCATAACTTATTCCTTTATTTGTTTATTTATTTATATATAGTTGATATTAAAATACTCTGTAGAAGATAATGGAAAGATGATATATATTTTACAATTTATATGTATGAGTTCATAAGAATTATCTAGAAATGATCATTTGTAGAAAATAATTTGTAAAAAGAGGTGTTATTTTTTTTAAAATAAATAAATAAAAAGAAAATAGAGATATAAATAAATTGAATACAAACAAATTCAAATTGTCAAATCTAGCTAGGTGCATCTAGACAATTAGTAAGAGGACAATTCAATGTTCAAATACAAATTAATAAAGTAGTGATATAAAGCATGCTTTCTTGTCAAATTATTTATTAGTTGAAAATAGGAATCTTGAAACCTTTTAATGATAATCTCTTTTATTTAAATAAAATAAATATAATAAGTAAGTTTGTCTCTCCACCAACTAATTTGTGCAATTATATTAATTATTTCATTTGAAAATTGTATCCACACCTAGCTTGTAGTTGTTTATATCTTTAAGAGTCAAAGGGGTTTCTATATATATATATATATTTCACTCGATATTTAATATTTATAATAAATTTGACAAAATCTAAAATTGCATTTTATAAAACCTATTTATAATGATAACGCTTCCAAAAGTAGTCTTTTTATTATAATTATTTGTTAAATGGCCTTCTATTCATGGTACATGGGGTCTTATGATAAATGTCAAACAAAAACGAAGTAGAAGTCTAAAAAGGCATTAGTGACAATGAAGCTTTATTTAATTTAGGTAGTGTATATAACAATATCTAATTTCAATATTTTCAAATTAGATTAATCTGAATTTATGTCGTGTAGAATGTATTAAAGATAAAAACTGCTTTCTCTGTTAGAAACTTCTCTATTATCATGATTTGGAACAGAGCTAGCACGATGAAATTAATAAGATTCAAATTAAATCCTTGCAAATAGGATAAAACAAATAAAAATAAAAATCTGATTATATATAAATTGTTGAATTCCTCTAATATAAGAAAAAGTTGTTTATTCTATCGTAAATGTTTTAAATTTTCTTTTATGAATGTCGGGATTTGCTATTGATTAGGGTTGGTTAAGGAAAAAGAATTTCATTTATCCCTCCACGATTAATTTATTGATAAGTACAAGTATAATATAAGGTTTGACCTATACTCAAATACAAGTTTATCTAAAAGACTATTATTTTACAATTAAAATATTGCTATTTCAAAAGCAAAATCATCCTTTTTCTCAAACTTTCAACTTCAAATGATCAATTTTTTTGTCTTCAATTGATCCAAACATGAACCACTATACTTTTTTTTTAATGGATTATCATGAAGACCAATAAAAGTGTATAATCTTTTATCTTCTTCTATCCATATAAATCATAGAGTCAAAATATTTTCTAGTATTGTCCAAGCAAAAGAAGGTGAAAGTTAGAGTGTACATATAGATAACCTTTTGCACACCACTAAGGGAACATAGTTATTGGGACAATGTAGACCAATATAAGAGAGACATCTATAGAAAAATATAAACTTTCCATTGAAGAGTCTTTTCTAGTTCTTGTAGTGAACTTTGAGTATATATATGCGTAATATATGTTGATTTTTCTTGATTTTTTTGGTATTTATTAATGAAATTCTGACTCCAACACACTACTTCGATCTTTAGGTTTTTTAATAAAAGTTATGACACCATCGAAGAATGTGATAGAATGATAAATTAAAATTTTTGAATTTAAGCCCTTAAAATGAATTTCTTTTTAGAAGCTCATAATATATATTTTTACGATATAATTTTGAAATTAGTCAGATTAGTGATTCCAATTACTAGATGGCTAGTCAAAAAGAGAAAGAAGGCTATTGTATCTAGTTTTTAGTCTTAACTTGTAAAATGTTTTTATTTCTTTCTTCACTAGAGAAAGTGAGAGTGAGAGGTATTCATTTTTTGTTTGTTTTCGATTAGTGTTTGGTATATGTATTTGAACCTTAATTAATTTGGATTCGTGTTGTGTAAGACCCATTAAAGGACAAATACACTCTCTCAAGTTTTTTTCCATTTCATGATTCAAATCCAAAACATCTGATAAAAAATGAAAAAATCTTATCCATTTCACCATGACCTTTTCGCGAAGAGAGGACATTCATTTTGGTATAAAACTAGTCTGTGATAATCTTGCAAAATATCCCATAGGACTTAGGGGTATATTGTTTGCAAGATTTTTTGTAACTATTTGTTATTTTTCAATCTTGAAATGTAACTTCAATTCTGACCAAACCTTTCTTATCTTACAAAGATTCTTTTTTTTTCTTACCAAAAATTGTGGTTTATTGGAATTTCACTTTTCTAAAATATATCTTTCAAAAATTATGGTAACTTTGGGCCTAGTATATTTGGGCTGAGTTTAATCTCTACACATCCAAAAACCACAAGGACCAAAGAGCTATTTGGGCTTATTAAGGACTACTAAAGGCTACTGGGCTTTGAAGGCCCATGCACAACTTTGATGCCCATCCACTCTACTTATCAGAGTTTGGATTAATTGGGATTCAATATTACAAAGATATGACATCTACGTCTCACTTAATCCAAAAACTGCTAACTCATGAGGGGAGGTTTGTCTCATTTATATTAGGAGACCAATTTCTTATCCTTCTATCGATGTGAGACTTCTTAACACTTTTCACAAGCCCAAACCTCAACTGCAGCGTGAACACTTATATGAATTTGGACAAACCTCCGCTCATAAGTTAGCAACTTTTGGGCCATCGAATATATCTTTGGTAAGAAACCCCACATTGATAGAGAGATTGAAATTGGGCAAACCTCTCCTCGTGAGCTAGCAACTTGTGGATCGTCGAATATATCTTTGTTAAGAAATCACACATCACTAGAGAGATCGGAAATTAATCTCCTTATATGGAAAATCTCGTAAGCTAGATATCAAATTCAAATACAAAGATTGTGTACTATTTTGTACATTTTTTCTCAATAAATTTCAACTAACATTACAGCTTTAAAATCTTTAAACAACCAGTGTCAATCACCCACAATTATAAAAAAAACTACACAAAATTTCAACTTACAGTGAGTTTACTTCAATGGCGACTCAGTATAATCTTTCGTTAATCATCAAGAATCCATCAAATGAAGCTGAATTTCTGCTTGTTAAACAAAACCCACCTCCTAAATTCAACGATCCTGAATATGATTCTTTTTCCGATTCCCCTTTATGGGATTTGCCTTCTTCACCATTGTTACCTCTTGATTCTCCTTCAGATAATCAATTTTCCATACAAGTCCCTGAATCTTGCTCAGATGAGGTTGATTTAAGTAAATTTGATCTTAATTCAGCGATTCATAAGGTACCCACGAAATTTTTAGTAACTCAGTTGGTTAGCTACGTGAACTTTTTACTTTATTGGTTATGTTCGATTTCACACCTTGTAATCCCCTTGTCCATTTCCCCTTCCCTTATTCATTTATTTAAATAAAATCCTAACTTGTTTGAGATAGAGGCATAATTGTTGTTTGTTGTTGTACCTGGGGCGGAGTTAGGTAGGATGGAGGGGTTCATCTGAATTCCCTTTGGCGAAATATTACAATTGTTTATATATGGTTTATGTATGGAACCTCCTTTGGTTTCTTCGTGTGTTTAGTTTTTCATATTTTGAACCCCTTAGTGAAATTCCGGCTCTGCAGCTGGTTGTATCTGTATTTCTTGGTTATTGGGATAGGCAAGAAATGTACTTTCCTTACTCAGTTTACTCCTTTTATCTTAAATTATGGACTTTTTTAGCATAGGGGTCAAGTTTTTTAAATTTTGGACGTGATTCGGACAGATTGCTGTATTTTGTTAAGAATCAACCTGAATAGTCGCTCACCAACCACTTGAACTAAAAATAGCTGACAGATGTATAATCGATATTTAGTAGGTGTAATCACCTCTGCATAATCTATTGAACAGTAAATCCTGTCAGCTATTTGTGTAAAGATACCTTTTTTTTTTGGACAAAATGTTACAAGTCAAAGTTTCTAAGAATTGAATATAAAGGATACTACCTCTACTTATACATTTGCCGGAAATTTTCATAGTATAAAGGTCCTTTTACTGAAAGAATGTAGAATTTCTTGGTGAAATGAATGTTAAATTGCTTTCAGCTTACTCCTGTTGCAGATTTTATCCTTTCAATATCTGGATAATCTTGGTGGATTTGTCATTTTTAAATGATTAGTTATGAAAATTGAAGTTTAATTTGGCGCAATGAGTATATGTACCCTCTGTTGGGGCTTACTGAACTATCATTATGCCTTCATTATTCTTATGCCTATCATAATTATTGTTATCATGATCATCATAGTTGTAATTGTTGTAAGATCGCAAGTAGACTTCATAAAAGGTATGATACCATTTCTTATGCCTATCAGAACTGTTTAAAAGAGGCTCGTCTACATATGCTGCAGTCTATGCATATGCATGTTTTGCAATATGGAGTTGTTAAAGCTTGTAGGTGATGATTATTGTAGGTTCTAGAGCAAGTGGAATTAGAGGATATCCCAGTCGAGTGGAAATTCATGAAGTATGTACAGGAGCCTGAATTTGGACCAGGATTGCCAGTAAAGACGGTCTACATCATTGGAACTTTGGGTCCTAAAAATGGAAAATTAAAGGGTTCGACCAACTTCACTCAGTTCACATTTGACTTATCTTTTTTTCAAGTATCAGTATGAATACTGCTGTTGTGATTTAACCGGGTCTTACGTTGTAGTCTTAGAAAGGAGGATCAATTGCCTTCCAATGTGAGCTTGCTCTTAGTCCAGTTGTAAGAGCAACATATGTCATTGGAACTTCGTTAGTTGTAATTTCCAACTGAATTAGAACAAATTATTACCTACATTCTCGAACTGTATTATACTTGGTCTTTCCCAAAAGTGTCCCCTTTTCTTAAGCAAAAACCTTATGTCACTCTTCACTATTTTAGAATATTGTACTGCTATGAAAATTAAAAGCAGCCCTCCATTTATCAATTATCTTTATCGAATTGCAAACTTGTCACGAAGTAATCTTAGATCTGCTTTAGGTGCAATAAATATTTCAGAAAGGCTATGTCATGTCAACTCTAATCTTCATCTCTATGCCTAACTAAAGTAAGGCTATAAAGCTGAGATAGTGTGGCTTAATTGGTCGTTTGTTGTTAATAATCTAACGAGGTATACTACCAAAGCATATTTTCACATATAATGCAGGTTACTAATTTTCAGAAGTGTGATCTATTGTTGGAGAAGCATGATTATTCTTCTACAAATATAACAGATTCGTTTTTCGAGAGATGGTCTGATTAGACTGATATCCTAACTGAATCTGAATAAAGTATTTGTGAAATCAATTAATGACTGCAATCTTTATCTGCGATCCACATTTGCTTCAACTTTTCGAAAGGAGAAAGCACGTGGTGTCAAAACTCAGTTTGGTTGGAATTTCACTCTCTATCGTATGCCAAATGTGCAAGTCGAATTTAATGGATTCAGTATATAAGCCTCTAGGGGTTAGAAACCATCATACATATTTTTACTGCTTCATTACCTCTTATTGTCTATTGTGTATCTCCTCGGTGGCTGAGAAATGACAACTGTCCTTCTACATAGAATTTCATAATGATAAACCTGCTTTTTTGCTTTTGTATTTTCCCAAATGAAATAGCATCCATAATTTCTAATGGTTATGAATGACGAAATTACCATCTTTTTTATACCTCCCCTGCTCTCCTTTTTCCTCTAGGGATGATTGTCAAGATTGTAACATGGTAACTAACATTGAACAGATGTTGAGCTCTGCAAGTGGATGACCACTGAGGGATGCATTAGTATGCTTGCTGAAGTGAAGCCTTGCAGTGACCGTGTAGGATCAATGGTGGTTGTTGGTCTTCTGAATGATTCAACAAAATCTGGGACATGGAAAATTCCTCCCACCTTGAAATGTCAGGTTTGTTATTATGTCTTGTGCTTGCTGACCTGTCAAAGTTTTTTCATTAAGAAATGAGAAATGAATAATACATGGACAACTAATGGTATTCCACATAAGTAGAGGGGCTAGAAGTATCATGAAAAGCATAAATACCAATTTGACGCTGATGTTTCATGGGACGGGACCTAACTAGAATTTTTCTGAAAACCTGAAGTCAAGAAAGAACTTAAGGGACACTCTATCAGAAACTCCGTGATATAGTCATTCATTCTCATTGTTCTTTGTTTTCGAAAGCTGATTAAGTCAGCCAGAAATTGTTCATTCTGCACAACTTTGGTGGCTGTTGAGACTTGTTGAAGTGTAATCACTAAACTTCATTTGAGATCTTTACTCTGAAGTTTCTCTTAGTTGCACAAGCAGTTGAAATTTAATCTATATATAAGATGCCAACTCCAGAAAGAGTCCTCAGTCTGATAAGCAACGAATATCAAACTGTTTGAACATGTAGATGTGAAAATTTTGTATCTTTGATTCTTTTTACTATCTTAAGGACAAAATACTGTCCAGTAGGAGCTGATGTTTTTCTCATGTTGCAGGAGTACCCTCTTGGTGTTAAAATTATACCAATGGAAAGTAGAACAGCTAAGCCTTTTCGTACCACAAACTTAATTGTTTTCCTGCCTGAAGGTAATGCTAGTGAGCGTGATGATGGTTTTATCGCTCATGGGGAAGCACTCATAGTAGATCCAGGATGCAAGTCTGCTTCATATGAACAGGTTAGAGCTAGTACATAATCTACTTCTTACTGTTTTTTATAATGTGGAACGAACAAATGATATTTTCCCGGTCTTAGAAGTGAAGCCATAGAATGCAGAGAAAAATCCACTCAAGCAACTACTTTCACATATTTTGGTCTTAGGTGGATTGGGTGTAACAATTTCCTTTACTAAATATAGATGCACGTGGATTGTTGTACACTTGTTGGTACATTTCTTTTGAAGTGCGATACTTCCAGAGGCCTAACAGCGTCTTTGCAAATTCTCTGAAGATTGGTTGACTATAACTCTATAAGGGTCATGTAAACAAGCAATGGAGGCAAATTATAGTAAGATACCTGAGAGAGTAAATTTTGAACAATTGTTGTAGGAGCTGTGTTCGCTTCTGCTGAAGAATATTGGCCAAAATGTTCCAAACTTTAGGTGACAGTAGATAACAAATAATTAAATAGACCCTTCACTATCCAAAAATCTGTCTTTAGCAATTCCTGAGCAATTGACATGCTTCTTATCTCCGTGTTGCCAAGTTTCCTAGTTTCCTGTATGTTTGCTTACCATATGTCTTAATGATTCACCTTTCTGGCTAAAAGCCTTCTTTTTAAAACCTATGATCTTCCTTGCCGATGATGCGATGCTTACATTTTGGATAAGAAAATAGTATATGTTGTTTGTTAAAAGAAAATGTCAATTAAGTTTTGTCACATTCAATAGCAAGAAGCAGTAGAGGAGGTAAAGCCGAAAATATTTGTTCAGTGTTTGTACATTGAATAGCTTTACCTCAGCAATGGGTTCCTGCACATGTTTCTCTTTTCTTTATGTCTTGGTAATCTGTTTAGGAGTGGTTGAAACTCTTTTTATGTTTCTTCTCTTTGTTTTCGTCTTTTTTTCTTTCTTGTAATTGGTCTGCCTCTTATGCTGTTGTGACATCTCGATGCTCTGATGCTTGGATTACCAGCTCAAGGAAATCATTGCTGCTTTGCCGAGAAAACTAGTCGTCTTTGTGACACATCATCATAATGATCATGTTGATGGTAAGCAGCTTTCACATCCAGGCCTGGAAACTTTCCTCTGCTTAGTGTCACTGCCTTATGCTATGCACAACATTTGATTTTTCTCACACTGATGTCATCATACTCATCAAGGGTTATCTTTATGTATTTTTCTTTTATTTAAATGATCTTTCTTGAGCCGTCTGGACAAGACCTACTTTCCATGTAAAGTTATTACAAGTTCCATTTTCTTTGTATCTGGTCCTTAATGTGTTGGAAAAAATTAGTGCTCTTTTTGCAGTATGAAAAAATTTCTTTATAGACATTTGGCTGGCTCGTCAGCAACAGTTAGTTGACTAACTGCAACATGGATTTATTGGATGTCTATTTCAATAGAAGCTGGGAAAACATCTATAACATGATGAATAGTTTCTTTAATTTTGTTATCTAAAGTATTATTCTCCTTACTTTTTTCACTAGACTAATCTGGAGGTTTGTAAGTAATTTCTGAAACATAAACTTGTGCTCCATGTGCTTCAGGTCTTTCAGTAGTCCAGAAGTACAGTCCTGATGCTCGTCTTTTGGCTCATGAAAATACGATTCGTCGAATTAGAAAAGGTCAGAAAATTTTCAATTCTGTAGAATAGTAAGTGTCTATCTTGCCATAACTAAACCACCTTTTTGTTTAGAGAGCTACTCTTTTACTTTACGTCCTATGCTTTTCTAGAAGGTTTATTTGTCAGTAGAAAACATAAAGAACTTCTAGTACTTATTGTTATATAATCATTATTTTTATTTTATTTATGATATTGGCCTAAGATGAATTTAAATGGACTAACATGATCAATGAGGATTCATATAGCCAACCATAACCTGTTTGGGAGTGAGGCGTAATGTTATTGTTTAAATAGCTAGCAAGGGTTGTGGGTCTATACCCTTTTTTGGTCATGAAAAGAAGAGAGCGAACTATTATAATGAAGGATGACTTTTATGTTTGTCCCCTGTTGTTAAAAGGCAATTGCTTTTTGCTTTTCATGCAAGAATGTATTTTCCGTGATAATGGGCTTACAAAGAGACCTGCCATATGATGGACGCGGGGGGGGGGGGGGGGGGGGGGGAATCAATAACTTCTCATTTTGACTAACAGGAATAGTTTCTAGTTGATGACTCTATTAGTGTACATTCAAGTGAGCTTAAAATATACACATGTTCATGCACCACTTACATCTTATTAATCTCACAGTATTTGTGAAAGTGAAATATTCTTTATCAAGTAAATGCATTTAATAGCTTAAAAGTAATTTCCATGTGATGCAGATGATTGGTCTCTCCCATATGTTTCAGTTTCTGGATCTGAGGAAATTTGCATTGGCAATCAGAAATTAAGAATTATCTTAGCACCGGTAATCTCCATTTATATCCTAGCTTCCTCTGATGAGAATCAACACCCCCATGAAATTCTGTTTTATACATTCATTATTGTTGATTCTCTTCTGGTACTTGCTTCTTTATTAAAGGGATTCATGGTATTACGAGTAATCTATGCTTTGATTTAGAATCTGTAGGACTTTTGCTTGAGAAAAGAACCATCCGAGATTCTCACCGGGAAGAAAGCTTGTCATATCTATAAAGTCGTGTCAATAGAATTTTATGACATTGATTGTTTTTTAAGTAATGAGAGTGACTGTAGTGCTACCGTTAAAACATCTTTACTAGAGCATGGTGAAGTTGTGATTGAACTTAATACTAGAAGTTGTAAGAAATGAATCAAGTTAAAAGTTATCTCCTAGTTTCTGAAATGGAATTTTCTTTGAAATGCAAGTAATCTCTTAGTTTTATATCCGTGTTTACTCAACCTTCCATGTAAAACATTCCAATTGTCTTGTATAATTTTTTCTGGAAATTTAACACGTTCTTTTGGAGACAATATTGTGATTCAGGGACATACAGATGGACATATGGCACTGCTTCATGTTAGTACAAACTCGTTGATCGTAGGGGATCATTGTGTGGGGTAAGATATGTTTGATCAAGAAACTTCATATCCTTTAACAAATGAGCATCTTCACTTGATAAATAATTTGTGGACATGCTTACCAATTTTAAATGTTGCTTCCCCCCCCCCCCAAAAAAATGTAGTTTCCTAGTCCTTTTGAACAATTTTTTTTAGCTTTTCTATGATGATACGGAAAACAATATGTTCAAGAAGTCTGTGATCAGTGGCGGAGCCACCTTACAATTAGTGGGTTCATCCGAACCCCCTTCGGCGGAAAATTATATGATTTATACATGGTTAAAATAATTTTTTAGGTATATATAGTAGATGTCGAACCCCCTTCGGCTACTTCGTGTGCCTATTTTTTCAGATTTTGAACCCCCTTATTGAAAATCCTGGCTCCGCCACTGTCTGTGATTGTGTTGGCCTACTTTGCATTTGTTTGTCATAGCTTCTATCATTTCTTCTCCTTTCTTATAAATTACTAATTTGATGTATCCCTTGGTTTCAGCCAAGGAAGTGCTCTCTTAGATAGCGCGTCTGGTGGAAATATGCAGGTAAGTTAACATCAGCATCTCTATGCTTCTTTTTGTCACTCTGTCATCCTTGGAATGCTAATTAGAAGATGAGGATTGGTCGTTGGTGTCTTAACTTTTGAAACCTGATTAAAAAAAAAAAAAGGATCCGACTGTTCAACCAGAAAACCCACCATACTTTTCTTTTCCCATATAAAACTCATTTCCTTGTTTTCATGTCAATGGGCAAGCCTTTCTCATGTATTCTATTGACTTTCTTGAATAGCTTTTTCCTTCTCTCTTTAGCTTTTGAAACTTAATGTGAACTAGCACCTCTACTCAAAGTAGTGAGAATTAAGACTACACCACCACATTTTTCATATTCAAATTTATATCCAATTCTAGATTGTTGTTTCATATAAAAAAGATCAGCTATGAAAGTTTTTAACAGTTTGAGTCAATTGAATGGCAATCTAAATCTAGTACTGTGTTTGTTATGGGTACTTAGAGGGTGAAACTATTATGTTCCTAATATTGTCTTCCACAGGTGCTTTAATCTACATTCAGGTTCCCCTATTAAAATTTGAAAACATATACTCTATAACCACTAAAAACTTGCTTAAAAAGTGAATGAATTTCTTGCTTCTAGGGATAGGGGTTCAACAAGAGTGTGTAGCTGAATTCTGTAAATCTAAATTATGAATATCTACCTTTGGTAGATTTATATATCTTTTACGACAATGCTCATTTTATAATACCTTGTGACAATACTGAGTGAGATATGGATTAAAGCAAGTGGGGGGTTGGGGTTTCAACAAAAGTGCATTTGTGAATTCTGTAACTTAAATTACTTTCTAGTTTTATTTTTATTTTCCGATCATGATTTTTGCTCTTTTCAATAATACCCTTGTGAATATACAGAAAAAAGATTAGGATTAGAGCAAGTAGTAGGTGGTCATATCTGTTTCTATTATCATGTTTAACTATGACTTGGTTTTTCTCTTCTTTTCGAAATTCTCAGTATTGAAACTTCAAGTTTTTATACAGGATTACTTTCAGACAACATACAAATTCATTGAGCTCTCTCCTCATGCTTTGATTCCAATGCATGGAAGAACTAATATGTGGCCAAAACACATGCTCTGTGGGTATCTCAAGTATGTAACTCACACCTCTTATGACATATTCCATATATGCTTTCACTCAGAGTGCCTTTTCTGTCTATCAGCTATTGGCAAAATCATTGCCGAAGTATATGGTTAACAATTATGCAGAAAACCTGCATGTTTCCTTGTTGCTTTCTCCCACCATGTAAATCTTGTAGTCTTGTTTTATTGAACATTATGCTAATATATGTCATAAGCTGTGAAATTTGTTCAGTTAGTTTTATGTTTATTGACGTTGTCTAAGACAGATGTCAATCAAATTATCATTCTCAAAAAATGTATAAAACAAATACACTGATAGATTCAATTGATGCACATCTAATTTATTATTATCTGGGATTGTCAGAAACCGGAGACATAGAGAATCAACCATCTTAATGGCCATAGAGAATGGTGCCAAAACATTGTATGACATAGTTGCTTACACTTATGCCGATGTTGACCGAAGCCTTTGGTTTTATGCCTCATTAAATGTGAGACTCCACGTGGATCATCTAGCAGTCCAGAATAAATTACCAAGTGTATGTCTTCTTTGTTCCCTTGTGATTCAACATCAATTCATTTTATGTCAGAGCTTATATTCATGATCACTCCTGTTTCGGATGTCAAGTTTAAGGATCAATAATAAGCTTACTAAAACTGGCGCTCCTCTTCGGAAATCCATGAAGCTTGGCTGTCTTAGCAGCTTTGAATGAGCCTCTGTTTACTGTCAAAACTGTCGGTTTCATGGAATTATGGTCCATTGAATGTAGTAGTTCAATTATTTTTTTTGTACCAGTTTTCACATTAAATGATATGCATGCTTATGTTTCTTGAATGACTTAACCATGAAGTTCATATAATTGCTTGCCCATCATGTGGAAACTTTTGGTGATCCATAAAATTAGATTCGGCCATTTGGGCCCCATAGAAAATAATTGATGGGAGATTTCATGCTTGCCAACACCTTTGAGTGCTGATTTGCTCCATGTCTAGCTTGAGTGTAGATGTAGGTGCAATAGTTGGGCCATATATCTATATGCCTTTAGTAACTTAATTAATTAGTATCCCAAACTTTTCTGTGTCATGTGCAGGACTTCTCTTTAGAAAATTTCAATCGCAGTTGTGCTGAGTTTGCTGGCATGGTGCATAAAATATAAGGGAACTTTCAGAAAGCTGACCCCTAAGACCTGCAGTTACCTTTCTTCCTTTAGGTTGGATGACTACTTATTTTTCTTGTAATAGCTAGTTGGTACTGCCTACATACATTTCATCAGATACAGTCTCGAATGTAGATCACTATCTCAATTATGCACGACTACCTATTTGTTTGTGCACTTGGTTTTTATATTTTCGAAGGGCCTAAGAAGTCATTTCCTTCATCGATTTGCAGGATTTTTCAATCCAAAATTTTCAGGCAAGTTGTGGGCTGCGTTTCCTTTTTAGGTGGGTATTAGAATACTCAAGTAGTGCATTCTCAATAAAGCATCACACGGTCAGAGCGGCTTTACTAGTCGGTACTGGAGCTGTGGCCATTGGTTGCTTGGCTGTATCATTCTCCAGAAAAAAACAAACTTCTCTCTAGATGATGCAAACAACAATTCTTGCTCTGAAAGGCAGAATTTGTCAAGGAAGTTAATTACCGGCTGGTTCCAGGTCATCTTCTCTCTCACTGTACCAGAAGCTCTAGGAGAAGCGTGAAGATGTTTACATTGCTGTTTTTAGTAGCAAAATATTCATTGATAGTGTTGTGCGCATAACTCGCCATAATTGTTCTGCATTTCTGATATTTCTTTGTGATTAAAGAAAGCGATTGGATCAATTAGAAGTGTAAGACAAGATTAGTGTTAATTGATCACACAACTTTTGTTATTGTGTTATTATAGAAACTATCTTTTGTTTAGCAGTGCCTGTTATTTCATCGATAAGTGCATCTTTCACTTGTAGTGCCAATAATTGAGCCAATGGATGTGGATTGCTACAATTAGGGATTCATCATCTACTATATACCAGTATATACAATGTCATTTTTGGCTAAAGGGGGTTTGGATGAACTCCTTCCGCCTCTCTAGCTCTGCCCTGGGGCAGGGTCGTGAAGTGTAAGTTTTGTGCATTGTAGGTGTATAAAAACAAATACACCCTCAGGCTTAACATGCATTAACATGTATGTGTTCATAATAAGCATGATCGTATAATGTACAACAACAACATACTCAGTGTAGTTCCACAAGTGGGGTCTGGGCAGTGTAGAGTCTACGCAGACCTTACTCCTACCTTGGGAGGTAGAGAGGTTGTTTCCTATAGACCCTCAGCTCAAGAAAAAGTATGTCAAAGCTGATACTATAGAAAACATGACAGAAAAAAAAACTACAATAAAATAGTGCGGTAATCGACTACTGGTAATGATTGGATAGTGTAAAAAATTATTTCACTGTATTTAACTTTAAACCAGTTTCTTTACAATGCAACTTTCTGTTCTTTCTTTAAGGCTCATAATTGCAGTTTTACTTTAACTGCAATAAAAACAAAAACCACACCTTGCCTCTTTTTATTTCACATTTTATTCTTGCCCCATACTAACACTTCCCATGCTCCTTTGCATTTATTCCTCATTTTCACTTACTTTATACATATCATAAATTGAGACCTTTTACTATCACTTTATACATATGATTTGTGAATGACCATTTTGTTTTAGAGAAATGAGTTTCCATCTTGGTGCCACCATAGTTCTTACTTTATCTGTCTCATTTTTTGTACTACTATTAGGCTTGTTCATCAATTATCAGTTCAGGAAGATTGTTATCTATGAAGATTTCTACTTGCCTCATCAATCACCAATTTACAATCTCTCCATCTCTACACATCTTGTTTGTAACTCTTCTTCGTCTCATTCTAGTTCCAATAGGACCATGGAGGAGTTGAATGATGTTTGGCACTCGATGAACGATGAAGAACTTATGTGGAGAGCTTCAATGGTACCTCAAATAGAGAAGTACCCGTTTAATCGAATCCCAAGAGTGGCATTCTTGTTCTTAACAAGGGGTAGATTGCCATTGGCACCTCTTTGGGAGATGTTCTTTAAAGGACATGAAGGGCTGTTTTCAATATACATTCATACTTCACCAGATTTCAACTATGAACCTCCTCCATCATCTGTGTTTTATAAAAGAAGGATACCTAGCCAGGTTCAATTGCTTTTTTAAAATAGCATTTCTTTATCATATGGCATTTCTTTATGATTAAGCAATAATAACATACCAAAGGATTGTGTGTACGCAAACCTTACCCCTACCTTGGGAGGTAGAGAGGTTGTTCCCAATAGATCCTCGGCTTGTTTTTTTATCCATTCGATATATGAAATTTACTAGCCCGACTAGTCAAGATTCATGTCGGGTAAGCCCACTGTGGGGATCGTTAAGAGTTCCCTACCAAGAAGTTTTCCATTTGTAGGGCTCAAATCCGATACATCTGATCAAAAGTGATGGGAATCCAACCATCCCACCACATCCTATAGTTTATGCAAGACATGCTACTATATACCAATAACATATTTCCATGACGCCTTCCTCGGCGTTATTGGTCTATAGTACGATACATATTGAATTGCCTCGACCTATTTGTCGGTATATATAAGTTAAATCTTTCTGAATCGTGTGTATCGTTTTTTTGTTTTCCACAGGCAGTACAATGGGGAAGATCAACCATGATTGATGCAGAGAGAAGACTTTTAGCAAATGCACTTTTAGACATTTCCAATGAAAGATTCATATTACTCTCTGAATCATGCATTCCTTTCTTCAATTTCACTACAATCTACACTTACCTCATAAATTCCGACCAAAGTTTCCTCGGATCATTTGACGATCCGAGGAAAATAGGTCGTGGTAGGTACAACAAACGTATGTACCCGAACATAACACTTTCCGATTGGAGAAAAGGCTCACAATGGTTCGAAGTACATCGCGAACTTGCAGTAAAAATAGTCTCTGATGTGATGTATTACCCTGTTTTTAAGAACTATTGTGTGCCACCATGTTACATGGATGAACATTACTTACCTACATTGGTGAATAAAGTTTGTCCGGGATTAACTTCGAATCGGAGCATTACGTGGGCTGATTGGTCAGCTGGTGGCTCACACCCGATGACATTTTTGAAGAAAGATGTGACAGAGGAGTTTTTGAAGAGTGTTGGGAGTGAGTTGAATTGTAGTTATAATGGAAAGATGAGTTCAATATGTTTTCTTTTTGGGAGGAAATTTCATCCTAGTACTTTGCAACCTTTACTTAGGATTGCACCAAAGTTGCTTGGTTTTGGTTGACTCCTCCCCCCCACCACCACCCACACCCCACCCCCTAGCAAGGAGGAACATAGTTCGCATGATTTCGTGAAAGAGTTTATGTTATATGCATTGACATCATAACGAGTTTCCGGAATATCGGATTAGGTTGAAAAATTGGTCTTTTATATATAATTTTTTTTTGGAATTCTTACATTACATTTGCTTTTCTATAAGGGAAAAAATAGGAGAAAAAAATCAAAATTAACAAAAAATTAATCCTAATTATTGGTTGAATTGCATAACCTTTGGTGCAAACATCAAGAGTCTACTCAAAGCATGTGGTGTAAATTTCCTTGCAAACAAATGACAAATACTTGTCTTCTTACCATTATACTCACAACTACTCTCATTCCTCAACTTCTTCAAGAACTCTTTAGTTATATCTTGTCTATTAAATCGGGCCGGGTGGGCCCCACCCTTCGACCAGTCAACCCAAGTCAAGGTCCGGCCCGAATTCCTCCCCATAAATCTCATGCTCACGAAAGTCGGAAGGTAGTGTTCGTCAGCACAACACCATTCCTTGCAGTATTTTTGAAAAATTGATAAATACGTCTTGTCTTAAACGACCTCTATGGCAAGATCCCTATCAATTTGAAACCATTGAGACCCTTTCCTCCATTGTGGAAGTTTGATAGTCGGGCTCATTCGCGGGCGGTACCTGCCCCGGCCCGATGGGCCGGGCTGGTCATACGACTCCACAAAATTTTTCGTGGAGTTCATTAGGTGAGTGTAGATAGTAGAGAAATTGAACAAGGGAATGCATGCTTCAGAGAGAAGAACAAATCTTTGGTTAGAAATATCAAGAAGAGCATTTGCTAGTAATCTTTTTTCAGCCTCAACCATATTTACTTTACCCCATTCAACTTCTTTACTTGGAATTCTTCTTCCATGAAAAATAAAACTTTCATCAATATTTGATTTATTATAAGAAGGATGAGAATGAACATAAATTGAATAAAATCCTTCATGTCCTTTAAAAAATAGCTCCCAAAGTGGTGATAACAAAACTGGCCCTTTTGTTAAAAACATGAAAGCCACTTTTGGTTGTATTTTAAATGGTAACTCTTTAACTTTTGGCACCATTGAACTTCTCCATAACAACTCTTCATCATTCATATCATGTTCAACATTAATTGGTTTAATATACTCATTCAACCCTAATCGAGGAATTATCGATCGCGGTGATGGTGATGGTGATGATGGTGGTGGTGATAATGGTTGTGAATTAAAAGAAGAAAAGTTTAAAATTTGGCCATTTATGATTTGTAAGTTGACACTAAAGTGTGAAAAATAAAAAGTGAAAATAATACCACAAGCAAAGAAGAAAAAATAAGAAAGGAGATTTAAAATATTTAATGGACGTAATTTGATAGCCGTCATTATGTTAAGTAAGAAATTAAGAAGAAATAATTTGAATGAAGAGAAGAAATTGTGTTATGTATATATAGAGCCATAGATGTATTTAATCATAATCCATATCAAATTAGGAATCTATTAATTATATAGAATATAGTAAATTATAATCCGTATCAAACTAGGAATCTATTAATGTATTTATATATATATAAAAAAAGGAAAAACTATGGAACTAGTCAATAAAAATAACAAGAAAACAAGAAAATTTATATTTTGGTTATTACAACTTGGAATACAAGTTAAAATAGAGAAGTATTTATAGTTAGTATTACAACTTTCCATATTAAGTTTATTCTAAGAATTATTTTAGGCATATGACTTATATTAAATATATTTAAAATGTAACTTTAAATTAAACTTGTGGAAGGCTAAAGTAAGGTCTTGCTAAAAAAAAAAAAATCTTTCTTAGAAGGGTTTCATCACTATAAAAAAAATCGTTAATTTCTAAAGGACGTTATCATTACGTTTTTGATAATTTGATAAGAAATTACTGAAAGATTTCTCATATAAAATTCGTTCGAAAATCGGAAATTTACTACGGATGTCTCGTTGGAAAATTTCTAAATTAATTAATTTTAAACTCATATATTTAAAATTTTAAACTCGTCTTTGCCAGAGCATGAGCGACTTAACTCAGATATGAACTCAATGACTTTTGTCCAATTATTTGTATATGTAATAAGAAATCTAATTTAAATATTTGACTATTAATCTAATTAGTATTATTGTATACCAACTTTTTTTTTTCAAAGGTTCCCTCAAAAGGGCTTCAATAGATAAGTCAAAGGAGCATGGAGGGGCGTGAAACCTGACCTCCGCATTACAAAACGAGGTGTGAGGGCACATCTTACTCTCTAACTTATCAAAATAAAAGGAAAGAAAAAAGGAGGGTTGCTCCTCGTCACATAAGCTTAAAAAAATTCTAGAATTCATAAACTAGAAGCAACCAAACAAAATTTAACCAGGGTCGAATATGAAGTTGCCCTTCTTCACTCGAATTCTAATATACTTATAACGTTATATACTTATATGTACCAACTTAATATCGTTATATACTTGTATGTTTAATTGACTGAATTACGTACGCAAATCTGTGAGTATTTTTATT